TGACAGGAGAAGATGAAGGAGGGGTTTGGCTCTTATAATAAAGGATCATGAATTAGGTCTAGTTTAAGCACCGCAGGGCAGGGGTTTGACTCAGTATAATAAAGCATGCATTCATTTAGCATGGAAAACGATATGATATATTAGTCAATGAAGGCAAACAAACAAAATCAAATTAACCTATGAATGCCTACTGAAAATAAAGCTTTCAGAAACACACCAAGAAGTAAGAGGTAAGCCCTTCCCCCTGTCCCACTATTGTCTTCTAGATGAGGTGTAAATTCTCTACATAAGGCATGATTTTTGTTTTCCTGAGTCCTCTTTATTCTTTCTTTCTAACCCTCACTCAAGTCCACAGCTTCAAAGTTGTATCAGTAGTGAGTATCTTTGAGTGGACATCTTGGCAATGACAGAAGTCATCTATCTGAGTTGTCCTTTTGGGATAATACTTTGAAAAAATATGGATTCAGACACAGACTAAGAGAGACACAGAAGATGCAGAAGGAGATAGAGGAAATGAAGACACAAATATGTACACATACACATGCACCCCCCACACACACACACCAAAGATACTCCAGACTGCATGTAGACTTGGAGGAAAGCCTGCATATCCATGACACCTCTCTCCATGAAAACACACGCACCTAGCAATAAGTACCACATAGAGATATGGAAATAGAGAAGCAAACTTCAATAAGAGATAAAGAAAGAGAATTTGGTGCCTCAGTGAGAAAGGGGAGAAGAAGAGATGGAGACTCCTGTCCTCACCTGAACCTTAAAAAGGGTCTGCATATTGAACCATTTTTATAAACCCAAAGGAAAGGAAGGATGAGTACAGCAGGGAAATATGCTCTGTGGAACAATCAAGCCTCATCCATTTGGGGATTAGAACCATGATTCCATTATTCTGTATATGTTTAGATGGAAGGGGGACTTGACCAAAGGGGAAGATTTCTTGATACCCTCCGAAAAGGGGAGGAGAATTGAAAGGGTCAGGCATGAACCCCTTCTGTCTTTGTGCTGGGTTAGAAAAAAACTGATCATGTCTTATGTCTTTTTTCATTTTGGATACTTACAGAAGAACTAAAAGCCCTTGTGCAGAGAGAAAGCCACAAGCCAAATTTTGGTATAGCCAGAGGAAATCTTAGGTGGGGCAAGAAAACAACTCATAAGAATTATTGTAGAGAAAGGTCCCCAAAGAGAGTCCTTTGTGTTAAGAGGCCAGAGTCCAGTTAACATAGGGATTTCATGATATTTGGCAAGCCACTTAACTTCTGTCTAGCTAAGTTTTATCATCTGGAAAATGGAGATAATAACAGTACTGATAGTCCAGTGAGTTTTGAAGATAAGATGAGATAATATTTGTAAAGTATTTTGCAAATCTTAAAGCCCAATATAAATTATAACTATTATTATTATTATTATCATTATTGTTAATTGCATAATGAAATTGTAAAGATACAAACAGCTTATTTAGAGATGTAAGAGTTGGGCAATCTATATCTACATACTTAAATTAGAATGAATGAGTTGGGAGAGGAGAGAAAAAGGCAAAATTAAGAATTTAACAGAAAGATAATGTGAATAATGTTAATTGTTATATAACTTGAGAGAAGTACTACATAAGGAACCTCTAGGAGCAGCAAGGTGGTACAGTGGATTGAGTGCTGGCCTTGGAGTCAGGAAGACTCATCTTCCTGAGTTCAAATTTAGGCTCAGATACTTACCACTGTGTGACCGTGGGCAAGTCATTTAACCATGTTTACCTCTATTTCTTCATCTGTAAAATGAACTGGAGAAGGAAATGGCAAACCACTCCAGTATTTTTGCTAAGAAAACCCGAAATGGGGTCATGAAAAGTCAGACATGACTGAAAATGACCGAACAACAATAAAGTAATAGTATAGTGGGTATAAATCAGGAGAAGATGGATAAGCCCCTTGCTACTTTGAGCAAAGGAGACTCCTGCTTAAAAAGGGAGCTGCTTCTGTATAATAGGAAATATACAATCATGCCAAAGATGGGAACAGGCCAGACATGGACCAGGAGAGGAGCCAGTGCTGGATCTGTAAAGTCCCTGAGGGAAAGAGCTAGCACCAAGTAGAAGCACAGAGCTACAGGTGGGCCTGGAGAGAAGCCTGCGCTGAAAGCCCTCTCCCTTTTCCAAAGAAAGCAGTTGGGCATGGATTGAAATACTTAACCAACAATGAGATGAGAGAATGAAAGATGGAGGGAGAAAGATCTCCAGGGTTGGGGTTTTTTTGCTTGTTTTTGTTTTTGTCAGAGAATCCCAGAAATGAAGAGCAACAAGGCTCAGACCAGGCATGTACTTGTTTGACGTGAATGACTATGAAGCAAACCAAAAGAAGTTCAATTTTGGGGGGAAGGGGTGTAGAGATGAAATTTTGAGAACAAGGGAAATTTCACCCTGGGAACCCAAGTCAGAAAATTAGGCAGAAAGTTTGGTTGCTTGGACAGTCATGGTCCAAACATGCATATGGTGAGTCCTGCTATTATATATGTCCACCTGGATTGTCTAAATGTGATTCATAGGAAGGCAAGGACTATGTCTCTGAAATTTTGCCCATCTCTCTTCAATGGAGACCAATTCTTACCTTGAGAAAAGCAAGAGAAAGGTTTATGAGATGGGGCTGGTTATCATATTCTCCTCTTAAAAGGAGGTTACCAAACTAGAATTCTATTTGGCACCCTAAACATTGTTGGTCTAGGGGCATGATTTTTAGGTTCAAAAGGGCAAAAAAAACTATTAGCTTCCCTGGTTGCTATCTCTTAAAGGGGGAGGGTAACCCAAGCTTTTACCTGAAGCCTTGACTCCTTTCCACCAAATACTAGATTCACACAATAGCATTGTAAATAGGAAATGAGTAAATCCATTTATCCAAGAAAACAGAACTCATGGAAGTTCTATGGTTTGGAATATGCCAGAAAATAGACAAAGAGTGAAAACCTCTTTAGATAAGATTGAGATGAGATATTACTCAACCAAGAAAAGATACCCTAATTTCACCCAAGAGGAAATTACCCAAAGTCCCTTGGGAGGCAAGCTGAAAATCAGGGACATGTTGAAGAGCTAACTTCCCCAATCATGTTTGCCAGTATCAAAGGCATATTCTCTCTCTCTCTCTTTAGAAAATGAATTAAAAAGAAAAATGATAATAATATTGGTGGAACCAAGATGGCATTAAATTCTTTAAACTAACTGCATGTAGGACCTCTCAAGAACCACTGTCTGCAGATAAAATTAGAGAGGAAGCATTTTACTTGAGTGATAATTTCAGAATTGCAAGGAAAACAAGAGTTTTCCATAGAAATAAGAGAAATCCCTTCTGTACATATTGCCCCTGCTTTCTTTGCCTTAGTAGGAAGAAAAATCCCTCCATTCCTAAGGTTCTCTATTGGTAATGTGATAGCTATCACTACTTACCAGCCTCAGTGACAATTAATTGGCTAATATTGGTAACACCATCTGGTGGAAAATGTACAAAAAGAAGATTGCAGGGTGATCCAAAAATGGATGTGTGTTCATTCTGGCCTCATTACAAACGAGAATCCTATTATCTGGATCTGTTGTTTTTAAATGACAATTGTGAGCAAGAACAGAATCCAATGTCTTCTCTAGTGCTTTCCTGGCCTCCTCTTATCTCCCCCTCCCCTTGTAGTGAAGCACATTAGTGTTCTTCAGTAAAAGAAACAAGTTTAACTAAAGGATGCAGGGGAAAATAAGTATTTTCTTTCTCCCCTGTTCTTTTCTGATCATAACCTTGCTATCGCTTTGAGAAATCAAACTCAATTCTGACTTTGCTCTTAATTTACCAATTTATTGCTGCTTTTTGAGTCATAGTGCAAGTCAGGCTTTACAAAAAAAGACAAAACTGTACTACCCACAAATTCTACTCAGTTAAAGAGTTTCCAGACAAATGTACTTCATCCATCACTCCCACACAGAAATCAACTTGGTTGGACAATTGTGTAACTCACTCAGCAGTTTACTAATTTTGTTATTACTTACTTTTTGCCATATAATTATTAATTTTCAAATATAGTTGATGGCTTTTTTTAATATGTGTCCATCTTGAGTCCCCACCCCTACAGAAAATAAACAACAAAAAAAATCTGTCCCATGACATATGCAATATTTCACACCACCTATTTACCAAGAGGAGGACAGTACGTTTCATCATCCATTGGAAATAAGATTGGTCATAAATCTGCTTGTGATGAATCTGGAAGTTGAGTTGCTTTTTAGTGTTGTTCTAATGCATAGTATTGTAGTCAATGTGCATTGTTCTCCTACTTCTACTATCTTTTCTCTTTATCAGTTCACTATAAATGTACGTGTATATATATATATATACATACACAAATACATACATATATATGCATTTGTGCATTGCGAGGCTCATGTCAGTGTGGACTATTTCCAAAATGATTGACATTTTAGCTCAAAAGTAGAAATATATTTAATCCCTTAAATAATTTTATTTGACATATCTTGAATTATCCCATTAAGTTTTTGTAGATATCATTAAAACAGTGTGCGGATATTTTTCTTCCTAACACAAATTTTTGTTTTTATGGCATTCCCATCAATGCCCCACGCCCTTAGGCTGTCACTATTAGCCAACGTTTATAGTCATACTTGAAAGGAATCAGAAACCTCCAATGTCCTAATCTCAAAGTGTTATGGGGATAAATACAGTGCCCACATGAACAAAGATACTAATGCCACAGTCAGATGAGTATAAACCCCTATGAGATGCTTTATCCAGATATTAGTGTGGCACAAAATTAGACACCATTTTATTCTGGATCAGATTAATATCATTGCAAATGTGGAGGAAGCCTTAAAATGAAAGATTGTGCTAGAGATGCTAAAACAGAAATATCAGGGAGCTGAATTTTACATGTACATGTATCTATGCATGTATACTAAGCAGATATGGTTTACTCTCTCTTTTCTTCTTTTCTGTTCTCTCCAGTATAGTGCACTTAACCCCCGGGAATCTTGGGATATGTGGCACCCCACTTTGGTGGCAGAGGCTTTATTTGCTATCGCAAACATCTTCAGTTCTCTGCGTCTGATCTCACTGTTTACTGCCAATTCTCACTTGGGACCTCTGCAGATCTCTCTCGGAAGAATGCTGCTAGACATTTTGAAGTTTCTGTTCATTTACTGTCTTGTATTGCTCGCTTTTGCAAATGGTTTGAATCAGCTGTACTTCTATTACGAAGAAACAAAAGGAACAAATTGCAAAGGAATACGGTGCGAGAAACAGAACAATGCCTTTTCCACGTAAGTTCCACGGACGTTTCTATTGGTGGGTAGCTCAGGACTGTGTTAGTACAGTGTCATGTCTGAAAATTACGAAATCTACAGCAGCTGTGATAGAATGGGAACTATGAGTCAGGAAATGCATCTGGACAGAGGTTTGCGATGTGCCAAGGACAGACTGAATGACAATAAGCAAGTTGCTTCAGTTTCATCACTCATAAATCAGAGATGATTGGTTCTGCCCTGCCATCCTCACAGGGCTATTGTAAGATGACAATTGTGAAAGCATTTCATAGCTGTAAAGCAGTACATAAATGTAATGGTGCTACTAAAGCGGAACAGTTGTTTGTTGTTGGGTTATTTTTTTTTTAAAGGTGCTCAACGTAGAAGAGAAGGAAATGTTATTGGACTCACAATATTAAAAAAATGTTTAAAATATATTTAAAAAACAAAGCAATACATCGCTATGCTTTGTTTTAAAGACCACCATGACATTTTTCTTTAATATCTCATAAAAATTAAATGTTTTATCTTTTTAATTATTTGAGAGTTATGAAATCAAAGAGTGGTGTGAGAATTGAGAAACTTCAAATATGATATTGCATAGTTATTGATGAAACAAAATAATTTAACACAGGCCTGGGAAGATTGATGCTCAAGATCTTAAACAGAATGTAATGTTAACACTGTACTAAGTGTTTTACACTGATTTCATTTGATCCTCACAATCTGGGGGGGGGGAGGAGAAGAGAGTTACTATTATTATTTGTATTCTACAGATGAGAAAACTAAAGCAAACTGAGGTTAAGTGACTTGCCCAGGGTCACACAGCTAGTAAATATCTGAGCCCATATTTGAACTCACATTTTTCTGACTCCAGACCCAGCACTCTATTCACTGCACCACCTAAATGCCTCAGAGATTCCTTCTGAGACCCTTTTGTCATTCTGAGAGTCTATGAACTAACTATACCCCTTATTGACTCATTTGTGTGGCAGGACTGGCTGTCTATATAGTCTATTGCCTTGATAACTACTATTATTCTTTTTCTAGACACATATTTAAAATACATTGCCTACTTCTGTACCTTAATTCATCTAGGCATACTGAAAAATAAAAAAGATAACATATGCATGTTGACATTATTATCCTTTATGTCAATTGTTTTAATATACTATACATTGAGGCCCTTAGGTCTCCTATATTAAATATCTCCAGAAAGCATGACTTAGATAATTCCTCTGTCTCCTTTTTAAGTTATTTTTTATTCTCTTATTAGCTATTCCTTTTCACTGCTGTGAATGTTACTGTGTATAGCAACCCATACTCCCCACTGTTTCCATTGACCTTTCAATGGTAACCTAGGAAGGACTGAAGATCATGGAAGGAAATCAGATCACCATAAATCATTGTATTTATTCCAACCACAATTCCAAATCAATAGGCTCCGGGTGGGAGCCTTAGAGTGTCTATGCCTTCCTAGTGGAAAGTACTTGGACTTCGTGAGAGTTATTTTCCTTACACTCCTAGCCCTATAGCAATCACTCTTTCAATCAAGAAATATATAGTAGGCACCTAATCTGTGCCAAGAACTGCACTAAACACTGGAGATAGAAGTACAAAGAATGAAACATGCCTACTTCCAAGGAGCTAACTTTCTAACGGGGAAGACAACAGTACATATTTTAGCTATATGATGATTAAATAGACAAAAAATAAGTAAAGATAAGTTAAAAGTAGTAAATGCTAGGTAGTTTAGAAGGCATAAGCAATTCGAGGAATCAGGAAAGGTATTATGTAGAAAGTAGTGGTTGAGGTATGTCTTGAAGGAAGAAAGATCCTTTTACAGGGATGTGAGGAAGGAGGGCATTTAAGAGATAGGTCATGGCCTATGCAAAGGCACAGAAATGGGATTGCAAGGAGACACATTTGTCTCAGTCATAGAGATCAGCCTGGGGGAGTGAGTAATCTACAAAGAGGAGTAATTAACAAAGAGGTTGGAATCACATTGAGAAGGGTTTGAAAGGCCAGACAGAGAAGCTTAAGAGGTTTTACTGAGTAAGAAAGATATGGGTAGTGAAAATTATTTCATTGTTTTAAAAACAAACTGTATCCCTAATGTCCAGAAGAGCCATTGGCATATAGCAGATGCATAATAAACAATTGAGTGATTAATTGATGACCAGATCTGTGCTTAAGAAACATCACTTTGGTAGCATTATGGAGGATAGAATGAAGATGGGGAAGATGAGGCAGGAAGATCAATTAGGTAGGTAGCCACTGAAACAGATTATAGATTAGCTTAGAGGCATTGGGGGCTTGAACTTTAGTTTAAGCTGTGTAGAGCTATGGACCTAGAATCAAAAAGACCTGAGTTCAAGTATGGTGGGACCCTGGGCAAGTCACTTAACTTCCATCTGCCTCAGTTTCCTCATCTGTAGAATAGTGGTAATAATAGCACCCATTTCATAGGGCTGTAGAAATAATCAAATGAAATTACACTTTCAAACCCTAAAACTGTATAAATACGAGCCATCCAAAGTGGCGTTTAGTTGTGTGAGGAGGTGGGATACATATATGAGAAATGCAGAGGTAAAAGCAGAAAGATTTAACAACTGATTAGTATTTGCAGTGAAGGAGAGCAAGCAATCAAGGATATGAGGAGCCTGGAAGAAGAATAGTGCCTTTGGCAGAAATATGGTAATTTGGAGTGGGATGAGTTTTGGGAGAAAAGATAGAATGTTCTGTTTTGCATATGCTGAGTTTTAGATGTCTCAAGGACATTCAATTTGAAATGTCCAACAGGCAATCAGTGGTGTGGGGCTGACACTCAGGGAAGAACTGGGGTTGGATATATAAATTTGCAAGTCACTGGCAGAGAGATGATAATTAAACCCATGGAAAATGATGAAGCCACCAAGAAGGAGAGTGTAGAGGGAGAAAAAGGCTGTGGGAAATACCTACAATTATGAAGCATAATATGGATAATTAATCGGCAAAGGAGACTATACCTTATATTTGGGCTAGTAGGGCTTAAACTATCACAGAATTGAGTATATTGCTATGTGCATTTCAACGTCACATATTATTGGTGCCTGAAGAATAATACTTTTGTGTCTTTTTGTTACTTTATGTTCTATGTGCTTTTCCATTTCTATTTTATGGGGAACAACCAGTAAATGTTATTTCCTTTAGTGTTATTTGAACAAGAAAATAAATTAGTTGTTAAAAGGCTTTGGGAAATAGTTTCCACAAGAGACAATGGGTTAATTGAATGTAATCCTAGTAAGGGAAAAAATATCTACTTAAATTTTGACATAAACACCAGGATATATTCTTTAAACAAAGAATATCAGTTGTTGAAAGGGAGTTCTGACCTTGTCTGGGAGAGTTTCAATTCCTTATCTCAGTACAATTTTAGGAAAGTAGTTCCTATGAAAGAAGGCAATCCATATTGAGATTTATTTTGATCCCTTACCTGTGGGCATTGATCAATTCAATTAATTTGGGGATGACACAAGATCCAATGATGATGAAAACCTGGGATACTGAAATCTTAACTAAAGGTGGATGGGGGGAGATAGTTTTGATTTGACAAAACATCAGGTTGTTAACACCAAGATCAAAAGGCTTAATTCAAGAATCTGCTAAACATCATTAAGGTCAGTGAGTGATACACAAATCTAAAGAATGATTCCTCTTTGTTAAAAGATATGGAAAAATGAGCGTCACCTCAGGAAGAAAACGTGAGATAAAGGGATACTTATGAAATTTGAATTTAGTTTTTATTTTTTAATTCAAATTGAAAAATTCAAATGAATGTTTCACAGAAAGCTTCTAAATATTGCTGATGTGACAGATGGGAATAATTTAGGTATGAGTAAATAAATACTTCCCAACCATAACAATAACATTTATTTTGTAGCACTGTTTTAATTTGACATTTAAAAATCACTTACTAAAATACTTACATCAGTTGGATTATGGAAGCTTTAGTAGGCAGCATGTTTTATTTAATGTTTATCTCCTTCTGAACTGTTATGTGTTGGAGAAACACAAGCTGAAGATTTGTATTTGTGTATTAACAGTGAGAAAACAGTGTTTGGCAAAGGAGATTAAGGAGATCATAGTGGAGATGGAAAGTTCAAATATTGTCCAAATAACACTATTACTTTAGGTCAATGATTATTAAAGTTAATAGGAACAACTAGTTCATTTCCAAGAATCAGATTTGCCTCTTTGGAGTTGAAACTTCCTCAGATAATTAATTCCTTAACCCAGTAAATTGAATTGTTTACCCTAGTATTGTAAAAAAGCAACGACAACACTAACAAATAAATCATTAGGCATTTTAGTCCAGTAAAAAAAGGTAAGATTTACTTGCTGTCTTATGAGTTCTAAATTTAGGGAAGTAATTAATTATTCTTAGTTTTTTTCTTATTTGAGAGGCATTGTGATATCGTTCTTCTTAAAATTGGGAAATACAAATGCAAATCCTGTTTCTGACTCTAGTTGTGTGACTTTGAACAAATCAATTCATCTCTTGGTACATGATTCCCCATCAATAAAATGGGGATGTTAAAAAATTCCCCACACCTCAAGGGGTTGTTGTGAAGCATGGTAGAGTACTAGACCTGGATTGAATTCAAATCTTAACTCAAACTTTTACCACAAGTGGCCCTGGCAAATCACTTAGCCTCTTGACCCCATTTCTTCATTTGCAAAGTGAGGAGGTTGAACTACTAAGGTCCTTTCCAGCTCTAAATCTGTGATGCTATAGGTGCTTTGTAAACCTTAAAGTCCTATAGTAATGTAAATCATTTTTGAGGCAAGACATTGATGGGCTATGAAGACAGTATGTTCTTTTTATCTCCATGAGATAGGAGCTTATTTGGGAATGTTTGTTCTTCATGAAAGGTCACTAAGTTCATGTAGAGTTTGCTCATCTGTCTGTTTGTTTTTTAGGGGGAAGTCTATCTGACATGTAGTGAGGACCCAGGTGAAGAATTGTACTCTGCTGGTGCAGATCAGGGTCTACTTTGCCACAATTTACAGTATTAGAGAGCTTGACAGGATTTTGACAGGTTTAAAGGGACTTGCCCATGTCAATTTGTGTCAGAAGTGGGGCATGAACCCAACTTATTCTCACTCCAAGGCCACCTGTCTATCCATCATACCATACCACAATGTAGAATTAATTTTTTAAGTCATCCAAAGGGTTAAAGGTGAATAAGAAATTGTTTACATTTTGATTTCCAAACCTTCTAAGACTTATCCATGCCTCATCTTGCATGCACAGGAAATGGGTAGTAATATGATTTTTTTAACAGTCTTAAAGGGGAGAGGGGAAAAGAGAGACAGAGACAAAGAGAGACAGAGAGAGACAGAGAGACAGAGACAGAGAGAGACAGAGAAGAGTTAGAGAGAGAGAGAAAAAAGACAGTCAGGACACAGAGAGAAATTAATTAAAAGGATAAACTTAATTTCCTCAAATCTATAACTATATAACTCATCATTTTTCAAATGTTACTAGATGAATATGTAGTATTCTATTCAAAGGTTTACTACTAGGGACCATTTTCATCTGAGGAAGAATTAGAATCACTCATCTGGAAGTATGACTACAATGTCCTTTCTTTTTCTTCTATCAATTTTAACTCATACTTGTCTAAAATAATGGTTCTGCTGATAACATCATTAATCAAATGAACATAAGAGAAAAATGTATATATACATATATATGTACATATATGTATATATACACAGATATATATGTGTGTATACATGTATGTGTGTATATGTGTTGTGTATGTGTATATATATATATATATGTAGAGAGAGTTTTATATTATTCTTAAGGTGTTCTAATAAATATCTTTAATTGTGTTTTATCTTCCCCAGCCTATTTGAGACACTTCAGTCTCTATTTTGGTCTATATTTGGGCTAATTAATCTATATGTGACCAATGTCAAAGCACAGCATGAGTTCACAGAATTTGTTGGGGCCACAATGTTTGGAACATACAATGTCATCTCTCTAGTTGTTCTACTCAACATGCTTATTGCGATGATGAATAATTCTTACCAACTAATTGCTGTAAGTAAAATTATTTACTTTAAATTCAGTATTTTTCTTGAAGTATTTTCCTTTTTAACTATTCCCATATTCCATGAATACATTTGGGAAATAACTTTCAGGAATGACCAGTTTAAAGAGACAGAGTGAAATTGTAGAATTTTGTGAGCATTAGTCTAATTTATTTTTCATTTCCTTCAGTCTTTATTTTTCTTTCCTTTAGAGAAATTCATCTATGTCTATGTCTTTTCTTCTTCCTCTCTTTTATATGAATGAATGAATAAAAATAATTTAAGTGCCTACTATGAACCAAGCACTGGAGATACAAATACAAAAGCAAAGATTTCTTGCTGTCTGAGAAGTTACATTCTGATAGGAGGAGACAATATACAAAGGCAACAGACATAGCCTAGCACTTCAGGGTTATAGCAATTAAAGAAAGATGCACAAATTTATAGCCAAGCAAAATATTTTTCCCTAAATTAATGTGCACATGTAAACAAAAGATCATGGCAGAACAAGACAGAAAGCAATAAAGTCCTTCTGATCCATGTATTTCTATCTTATAAAGCAATTCACAAGTACAATCCACTCTGAATTTTGACCCACAAGTTGCCAAATTTTCAATGTATATAATTTCAATGGAATGCCATTTTTGTTCCCATTCTTTTACCTACATATCATTGCCAAAATTATTTCAATGAGAAACCAACTCTGAATTGTATTTATGAAGGCAGAACGGTTTCCACAGTATACCTATCACAGATGAAATACTGCAAAAAAACTATGTAAATAAATGCTTTCTAGGTAGTGCTTCCTAGACTTAAAGTCTTACAGAAAGTCACAATGTCATATATGTCAAGTATTAGGATTTACGAGAGTTTCTGACTTACTTCTGATGTAAAATATTTTCCAGACAACTATCTTACCTGAAGATTTAGGGGGAATAATAGTTTATTATATTGATGATCTAAATAGTTGTATAATGTTCTTCTAGCTAGCTTACATTCAAAAATCCAAGTTCTGTTTGTCAGAAGGGAAAAAAAGAAGAGACTTAGAAAGCTCTTAATTATCACAGTTTATGCAGAGAAGCCACCCACCTGTCAAAAAAATGTTGATCCAGCAAGCTCCAAAATGTCCTTATTCTATACAGAAAGTAAAATGAGACAATAGTAGCATGAGATTTGTCCTGATGCTGAGGGAAAGTCTTAAAGAATAATGAGCAAATCATTTTCCAAGCTAAACTGCTGTTCCAGGAGAGAAGATCCTGGAAATGAGAGAATCAGATGAGATAATATATGCAAAACATTTTATAAAACTTAAAGTGATGTATAAATTATAACTGTTAATATTCTTCAAGCTACTACTACTACTATTACTATTACTACTAATAATAATAATGAAACTAGAGTTTAAATCTCATGGAATTCTCCACATATACTGCCAACTCAGTATACTCACAAGCACAAATTTCTGTCTCTCTCTCTCGACTCAGAAATTTGATACTAAATTCAAAAATAATCTTGAGCCACTTTTCCTTTTCTTTCATCTATTCACCTCCCAGTAAGGATGGTCCAAGAGAAATACAAGGTGATGTAGAGAGGAATTGACATGATGAGAAAAGGCCTAAGCAGCAGGAAACTTGCCATCACCTCTGTCTTAACCCTTTCTTCCACTTGTTTGCATCACCCTCTTGTAGCTACTACCATATTCCTTAACCCAGGCCTATGAAAGAAATTAATAAGAAGAAAAGCAAAAAAAAAAGTGATGAGTTTTAGAAAAGTCCTCACTCCCCATGAACCATGCTAAAATCACACCTGATGTCTTGCTGGTAAACTGAGGGACAGAAATAACTTTAAAGTTAAATAACTCTAGTCATCTGCATAAATCCAGGGAGGATTTATACTTAATATTATAGATCTTATCCACACTGATGGCTCTGATTTGCCTAAATATTCTCTAACATCTGGTCAGAATATAAAAAGCTGTTTGTCATTTGTTTTCAAAGGAGTATAAAGGGGGAGTGGCCAATTGGCCTAGCCCATACACCATGCTAAGATGTACCTTTCCTGCTGGGTTTAAAAACAAAACAAAACAAAACAAAACAAAACATACAATGCTGCCTGGTTGTTCTCTGCCTCATTCCAGTCCAACCCAAGTGACCAAGGGACAGAACCTAATTCCTAACCCTGGAAGTCCTTTTCTCCCTTTGTGAATCCCTTATGAGGTTTACCTTTTATCTGTTTCTCTAAGTTCGGTTCCTTTCTAGGGTCAACAGCCAGCACATCCATCTGTCATGTGGGTCCATGATCCCCAAATCTCCTGCGACAGTCCTTCCTCCTTCTGTAAATGTTTCTTCTGCTGCTGATCATTAGCTTTCTAGCAGACTCTGCTACCAATTCCGTTTGTTGGGGAGAGGCATCTTTGATGGCTTTGCTGGATCTCCAGTTGTCATTGGACACCTGGAGACTCCCATCTTATTCATCCTAAATCAGGAAAGAATAAATACAAAAGAAACAAAGGCAAGATGTGCTGGCAGACACCTGGTGACCAGGTGGAAGGAAATCTGCCCTCCCCCCAATAGACAGTGCATAGCAGTCTTCCTCACTCAAGAACAAAAAAAGGGAAAAGAAAAGCACACAAGGACTGAAAAGGTGTACAGCAGTCCTTCTGTATGTGATCTCAGTTCTAGCTTACTGCCTTCTGAGTCAGCAGTCTTTCCCTCTCCTCAGAAAATCAAAAGGCCCCATTACCACACAAGACCAGCCCCTAGTTACCCATGTCTGAAAGTAGACTAACAAGCATCCACATGTTGGATTTGAATCAGGCAGAGAATACAGCACATGTTCTGCATAACCTACTGAGAAGGACAAATCTGAGAATTCTCTGAGGACCAGGTCCTAATTGGTCAATCCTCCCATTGCAGAAATAAGTTCATTGTGTCAATGATCACCATTATTTTTCAAGGAAAAAGAACAAGCCTGATTTCTGCATTATAATCTAATTAGATGACAGTAATATGATAGACTGCTTTCAGCAGTAAATAATAATAATATATTTGAGGGGAGCATCATTGTGAGAATGAAGCATAGTCTTAGCTTAGAGTCTAAAATCTGAGTCCTATATTAAATTCAATGACACCTAATGATGTGAGTCTCTAAAATAAATCTTGTAAAGATGCAGCATGACATAGTAGATAAAGAACTAGCCTCAAAGTCAGGAAGATTTGGGTTCAAATCCTACTTTGGATATATGCTGACTCTGAACAAGTCATTCAAACCCTATGTGCCCCAAGCAACTCTCTAAAGATTTTAACTTATAGAATAAGCATTGATCTCTATTGGTAGAAAAAGTTTCCTCATTGGGAGCTCACCATACCATTGCAATCACAGGTCCAATCCAAAACTATATTAAAATAAAAGTGTGCCTGGGACTTCTACCAAATGTAACAAGCATAGGTTTTATTCTATAGAGAAGAAGAATGCCATATATACATAATTTATCACATTGTCCCATTCCCCAATCCCCACTCCAAAGCTATCTATAATTGATGTTAGAAGATTACCTTCCTATTGAATGATGATACAGGTGACTGTCTTTCTTCAGTTAATACCTTATCATTGCCAACCTTTTAATATTGAATCATTGGGACATTTATTTCACTTAAGGAAGGAAAAAGAGACTTGATTACTTGTATTTTTTTTAACTAGGACTAACAGAATCCAAGGTAGTTCTCAGGAAGAAGTACAAGTCTCTTTCTGGTGAGGAGGGGGAGGGGCAATGAAGATTGGAGTGAAAGCTCACCATCAATTAGAATGGTTGTGGATTAAGGTAGAAATCTAGTTCTGGCAATTAGGAGGTCAGTCAGTAATTACCATGTTCTTTTGTTTAGGACCATGCAGACATTGAATGGAAATTCGCACGGACAAAGTTATGGATGAGTTATTTTGAAGAAGGAGGTACTCTGCCCACTCCCTTCAATGTCATCCCAAGCCCCAAGTCTCTTTGGTATCTTCTCAAGTGGATTTGGACGCACCTGTGCAAGAAAAAAATGAGGCGAAAACCAGAAAGTTTTGGAACAATAGGGGTAAGAATACAGAATGTTAGTATTTCTCTTCTCTCTCACTTCTTTCACTTGTTTGTATAAGAATCTCCTTTCTTGCTTAAAGGTACCTTTAAAGGAACCAAATTAACCTGCTTTGTTCTTATGGATGACAAACCCACTAAGCGTTCCCATTGCCTCACTAAATACTCCTATCATCCTCCCACTCTCTTGTAAGAATGTATATTACTCAAGCACTGATTACATATGTGGTTCAGCAGGTGATGCCCACCACTGTGACCTAAGTGCATTGTTCCTATTGCCAGCAGCAATATCACAGGGTTTTCAATTGCCAACAATTTTGCCGAATTACTGCATTCACTTTGAGCCATATTAGATGCATAATAAATGAGGATGCGGCTACAAAAATTGTATTTAGGGTAATTAGAGAGATGGAGAATTGAATTTTTGTAAAAATGTGCTAGAATAATAGAGTCAGAGCATTAGAAGGGACCATCTGGACCATTCTGTACCTGAACAAAAATTTCCTCCACAACGGACCTAACAGGTAATCATCAAGCCTTTGCTTTGAGAACTCCAGTGGAAGGGTAACCCACAATCTCCTGAGCCAGCCTATTCTATTTTTGAATAGCTCTAATTATTGGGAAGTTTTCTTTATTCCAAGCCTAAATTTGTTTTTTTTTTACAATGTACAATCATTGCTTCTATTTCTGCCTTCTAAAGCAAGCAGACCATATCTAATCCCTTCAATTACTTAAAAACAGCTCTCATGCCCCCTACCCACCCACCCATCTTCACCTTCACTAAGTTATCTTGCCAGCTTTTTTTTTTCCCTGTGGATCCTCACATGCAAAATCATGAGACCTCACTCAATCAAATAGACAGATGATGACTGATATGTTCACCATGCTCTGGACGCTCTCCAGGTTTTCAACATCTAACCGGGGGGTGGGGGGGCCAGGGTGAGCAGAAGGAAGATGGTAAAGAAAAGGAAACCAGTGGTCTAAGCTCTCCCTAAAACCCTTCTGAATACCTTTAAATAATGTCATAAAACAATTCCTGGAGATGCAGAACCCATAAAAGGATGAGGTGAAATAATTTTCTAGCCAAAGACAATTTGGAAGGTCATCAGGAAAGGTCTGTCACACCTGGGTGAGAGTAGAGCATATTCCAGTACAGGCCTCACTGGCACAGACCAGAACCCAGCAAACCATGAGCATGCCTTGGGAGCCACTGAATAAGTAGCGGCAGTAGCTGCTTCTGGAGCTCTCAGCCCACAGATGGTATAGGGGTCAAACCACCGGTTAGAAGGAGATTAAAGGGATCTTTTTGCTAGCACTGAGGCAGAAATCTGTTGCTTTGCCCATATTTGGATCAGGGTCCCAGTCCTGGGTGGCAGTCCAGGGCAAGAACAGGCACTGGAACAACAGAGTTGTAGCCACAGTGGAGCAGGGACCTTCCTCACAGTTCCAGGGCAGAAAAGAGTGCTTGCAGTCACTCACAGACTAGAAGCCAGGCCAGGAAAGGAGCAAACACCTCTCCTTATATCACGTTACCTTGGAAGAACTAAAAACTTACTGTTGCCTAGGAGTATCTCTGAAAATAACTGCACAAAATGCCTTAAGCTTGGGGCAGTCCTACCTGGAAGGAGAGCCATACTTTAACAAAGACTTAAAAGTCAAGTAATAGGTTGGGGAAATGAGCAAACAACAACAAAAAATATATATAGAAAGTTACTATGGTGATAAGGAAGATCAAAACACATACTCCAAAGAAGATAACAAAGTCAAAGTTCCTACATCCAAAGCCTCCAAGAAAAGTATGAATTGGTCTCAGCCTGTGGAAGAACTCGAAAAGGATTTTGAAAATCAAGTAAGAGAGGTAGAGGAAAAAATGGGAAGAGAAATGAGAGTGATGCAAGAAAATCACGAAAAATGAGTAAACAGTTTGGTAAAGGAGACACAAAAAAAATCTTAAAAAACAGACTGGGCCACATGGCAAAAAAAAAAAAAAATGGAACAAAAAGCCAGTAAGGAGAAGAATGCCTTAAAAAGCAGAATTGGCCAAAAAATAAAGGATGTAAGAAAATTCACTGAAGAGAACTCCTTAAAAAGTAGACTTGGCCAAATGAAAAAGAAGGTACAGAAGCTCACTGAAGAAAATAATTCCTTAAAAATTATGATTGGAGCAAATGGAAGCTAATGACTTTTTAATATATCAAGAAACAATAAAACAAAACCAAAAGAATTTTAAAAATAGAAGACATTGTGAAATATCTCATTGGAAAAACAACTGACCTGTAATATAGATCCAGGAGAGATAATTTAAAAATGATTGAACTACCTGACAGCCATAATGAAAAAAAGAGCTTAGACATGATCTTTCAAAAAATTAACAAGGAAAACTGACCTGATATTCTAGAACCAGAAGGTAAAACAGAAATTGAAAGTATCCACTAATCACCTCCTGAAAGAACTCCCCAAAGGAAAACTCCTAGGAATATTGTAGCCAAATTCCAGAGTTCCCAGGTCAAGGAGAAAATATTGCAAGCAGCCAGAAAGAAACAGTTCAAGTATCATGGAGCCATCATCAGAATAACAAAAGATTTAGCAGTTTCTATGTTAAAGAATCAGAGAACTTGGAATATGATATTCTGGACAACAAAGGAGCTAGTATTATAACCAAGAATCACCTACCCAGAAAAACTGAGTCAAATCTTTCAGGGGTAAACATTCAATGAAATAGAAGATTTTCAAGCTTTCTTGAAGAAAAGACCAGGGCTGAATAGAAAATTTGACTTTCAAATACAAGACTCAAGAGAAGCATAAAATGGTAAACAGGAAAAGTAAATCATAAGGGACTTAATAAGGTTAAACTGTTTACATTGCAACATGGGAAGATGATATTTGTAACTCATAAGACCTTTTTCATTATTAAGGCAATTAGAAGGAGTATATATAGACAGAAGGCATGTGTATGAGTTGAATATGAAAGGATGATCCCTAAAAAAGAAAAATTAAGGGGTGATAGAGGAATGTATTGGGAGAAATTGAAAGGGGGAGGTAGAATGGGATAAAATATCTCACATAAAAGAGGCAAGAAAAAGCTTTTACAGTGGAGGCGAGAGGGGAGGGGGAGGGAGTGAACCTTACTGTCATCAGCACTGGCTCAAAGAGGGAATAACATACACACTCAATTGGTTATAGAAGTTTATCTTACCCTACAGGAAAGAAGAGGAAGGCGATAAAAGAAGGGGGAGGTACTAACAGAAAGGAGTGTGGATTGGGAAAGGTACTAGTCAGAAGCAAAACACTTTTGAGGAGGGACAGGATGAAAGAAGAGAGAGAATAGAAAAAACGGGCAGGGGGGGAAATAGGATGGACGGAAATACAATAAGAATTCATAACTGTGAAAAAAATATTTGAAGTAAATTTCTTTGATAAAGGTCTCATCTCAAATATATAGAGAAATGAGTCAAGTTTACAAAAATAAAAGCCATTTCCCAATTGACAAATGATCAAAAAATATGAACCGTCAGTTTTCAGATGAAGTAATCAAATCTTTGTATAGCCATATGAAAAAATGCTCTAACTCACTATCGATTGGAGAAATGCAAATTAAAACAATTCTGAGGTACTACCTCATATTTAGTAGATTGGCTAATAGGACAGAAAAGGTAAATGACAAATGTAGGATGGGATGTAGGAAAAATGAGACACTAATGCAGTATTCGTGGAGTTGTGAACTGATTCAATCATTCTGGAGAGCAATTTGGAACTATGCCTGAAGGGCTATAAAACCATGCATACGTACCCTTTGACCTAGCAATACCACTACTAGGTCTCTATCCAAAAAGACATAAAAAACAAGAAGAAAAGGACCTATATGTACAACAATATTTACAGCAGCGTTTTCTGGGTGCAAAGAATTAGAAATTGAGTGGATGCCCATCAATTGGAGAATGACTGAACAAATTGTTATGTGATTATGATGGAATACTACTTTACTCTAAGAAACAATGAGCAGGATGCTCTCAGAAAAACCTGGAAAAACTTAAATGAGCTGATGCAAAGTGAAATGTACTGTGTACAAAGTTACAGCAATATTATATGATCAGCAGTGAATGACTTAGCTATTCTTAGCAATACAATGATCCAAGAAAACCCTGAAGGACCTTTTCTTTTTTCCTGATGGACTTTTGAAGAAAAAATTTTATCCATCTCCAGAGAAAGAATTGATGGTGTCGAAATACAGATTGAAGAATACTTTTTTACTTTCTTTTTTTTTCTTGAGGTTCCCCCCTGCCTTGGGTCTATATTTTCTTTCACAACATAGCTGTTATGGAAATGTTTTGAATGAATACACATGTATAACCTATATCGAATTGCTCACTATCTCAATAAGGCGTGGGGTATAAGGAGGAAAGAAAGGAGATAATTTGGAACTCAAAGTTTTAAAAATGAATATTAAAATTGTTTTTACATGTAACTTGGGGACAGCTAGGTGGTACAGGGGATAGAGCTCTAGCCTTGGAGTCAAGAGGACCTGGGTTCAAATCTGGCCTCATACACTTGACACTTACTAGCTGTATGACCCTGGCCAAGTCATTCAACCCCAATCGCCTCACCAAAAAGAAAAATAAATAAATCAAAATCAAAAATCAAAATAAGCATGTAACTGGGGAAAAATAAAATACTAAATACATTATTAAAAAAAATATCCAGCCTCTATTTGGCACTTGGAATCCTTCACAGTCTGGCTGCAGCCTCTCTATCCAAGGTTATTACACTTTACTCTCCTTCACTCACTCTAAATCACAGGCAAAGCGGCCAACTTCTGTTCCTCCAGCTTACCACTCCCTGCCCAATCCCTCTGCACAGGTAGACCCCAACGACCTTCTCACCTCCACCTCTTAGAATGCCCAGCTTCCTTTGCTCAAGTGGCACTTCCTTTATAAAGCCTTCCTCGATATCCCGCAGTTGTTAATGTTCCTCTCCAAAAATAGTCTGTAAGTGCTTTGCTTA